AAATAAAAAAATATACTTGATGCAATAAAGATGATGCAAAAGTTTGCTACCAAATATTGCATCACTATCATACATAAATCAAATTTAATTTAATTATAAAAAAAGTACAGTGTATTAGAGAAGATTACAGAATTCTATTTAAAAATCACAGTGTATCAAATTAAGTTACAAAATTTTATTTCAAATCTTAATTTAAAGCTATAATTTAATATCTATTTTGTTGAATGCAGAAAAATAATATCTCAAAATCTAAGGTTATCTTCAACTAAAATAAGATATTTCATGTTAATTATCTAGTTTCAAAGTCAGCTGCAGTGTATGATGATATACTTGACTAATCTAGATGATATACTTGACTTTTACAACTAGTGCCACTGCATGACAAATGTTTCTTTTACTTTAGAAAGCAATCAAAATTTGCAAACTAATTTTCTTAAAAGTTGTTGTTTGTAACTTGCGATGTTTGTGCAAATCGCAAGTTGTTGAATAGGCATTTTAAATGATTCGTTTATGCCTAATCCACCACATTAAAATAAGACAACTTGTTACTGTCTTAATTAAATATGACTTATCCAACTTAAAACATATGGAAAAAAGAGATATATGTAAGGATGGTAAGTTTATACAGTGGAACCATGAAGACAGAGAATGTGGCTTTTTTATTTTACCTAAACTTACTTTTGAGCATATAAAGTTGACAAAATATTTATTAAAAAGTGTTAATCTTAAAAATTATATTACATTATGGAAAAGCTTATCTGAAGATTATTCCCGACACTAACAATCACTTAGTGCTTGCAAGGGTAACCTATCATTTAATAACTTTCAATAATAACAAAATAAAAAATATTTTTAGTAGCTGGAAATGTAATGTATTTACCTACACGGGTATTATAGAGTGGTAGTAATATAGTATTTAGTCATGCCAAAAAAAAAAAAAGGTATTATTAGATTTGTTCAAAACTAAATATTTTTTAGATATGTAAAATAGTAGTGTTGTCATTATTATTTTAAAATTAAAAAGACAATTATATTATTTTTATTATTCAATCTTTTATTGTTGTTTTATTACAAAGTTACTACACCATAAAACTATTAAATATACATGAAGCATTTATTGTACTAATCTAGGAGCTAATTATATACCAATAATATTTTTATAAAATATGTGGCTATGAAAATAGCCGTTTTAGTAGGTTCTCACTTTTTCTTTAATGTTCTTGCTCCAAAATATTAATCCAAAATAATAATCTCACTTTTTTCAAAATAATAATCTCACTTTTCGAAAATAATAATCTCACTTTTTCTTTAATGTTCTTGTTCCAAAATATTCCAAATTATTCCAAAAAATAGAGGGTGTTTATAATTGATGTTCTTTATATATCAATTTAGTTTGACTTTTTTGAATTTTGAAAGCTTTCAGGTTATATTTTGCAATGTACAATCTACGAACTTGTATGTAAAATGTTAGATGATCATGCATACTTAGCTGCAAGCAAATACGATAAACACTGCTCATTATACAACTTAGACATGTTAGAATTAAAACCAATTGTAAAATTAGAGGCACCAAAAACATTCCCACTAAGTCATAATAGAATGTTTTGTTTATTAATGTAGAGGAATACATGCTTAAATGTTATAATACCATTGATAAAAAAGGTGCCAGTCAAATAAACAAAGACAAGATTTGCTACTTCAAAGCATAAAAGAAATTGTTTTTTCAGAAAAAGTTTTGTAGAATCGACTCTACAAAATATTTTCTGAAAAAAATAATTTCTTTCATGTTTTGAATGCTACTTCATGTTCTTTCATGTTTTAATCAGTGGCAAAAAAATTTCAGCATTTCATACAAATGAAGTAGTTACATTTTAATAGGAACTAAGCTGTAGCAAAGTACCATTTATCTGAAGCAAGCTTTACTGCAATCTTGATTAAATAATTATAAAATTTTATAGGTTGAAGAATAATCTTTGCTTTCTTTTATTCTTTACTAAATGTTTATCAATAATCTTGTCCTTGTGCTTGGCGTTGAGGTGACGAGTCACCGTGTGATATACTTCGTTTTTTGCAAAACAAACACATAAATATTATTTCTTCACTTTGGTTAGGATAAATTAAAATAGGTAGTCTAATGTTTGAACTAAAATTGAGATCTGCCTTCAACAAACAACAACTCAATAGCAGCTAAAACAGCATCGAATTCATTCAAATTTTCAAAGTCTGCGCTACAAAAAGTCATTTTAAAAACATTTGATGCGCTCTCAGTCCGGTCACCCCTTAAAGCTCAAGTTATTTTACGAAATTTATAGAAAACGGCCCGCGTTTCCAGACTAGTTAAATACTATGACTATGTAATAACAAAATACAAAAAAATCGTTCTATTTTCATAAAAAAACGAGTTTTCTTTGTGCTGTTGTCATTTAAGCAAGGTTTGTGCTTCATGAAGTCATTTTTTAGACAAGCAATTGAAATATAACACTTAGAAGCTAGGAACAAAAACTTTCTTACTAGTGTAATTATTTTAAAACAAATTACCAAATTATTTTAAAATAGTTACACTAGTAAGACTAGTAAGTATTAAAACCTAAATTAGGCTTTTGACACCAGGTATAACCTTAAGACCACAACTAATCTTACTTTTGAAAAAAAAAAGATCTTTCCGCCGCTATTCGTAAATTTTGGTTAAGATGAGAATTTTGTTGAATTGAGCAGTGATGGTTGCCCACATCTTAAAATGAAAAGATGTTCCATTCTTAAAAGTAATTGTATTTTTAACCAAAAAAATGAATCAGTATATTTCCTTTTTTCATATTTCATTAAATATATTTCATTTCATTACCAAAAATATCAGTGTTGTATCCTATTAGAAAAAAATTGTTTTATATATGAAATGTAAAAGTAATTTAGTTTCAAAATGGTTATTGCATTATTCTAAATGGCAATTTTATATATAATTAAAACTAAGTTTAAAGTAGAACAGGTAGCTTTATATATAAATCAACCTAATAGAAATTAACCTTCATAATGAAACCTTTTTTAATGAAAATGTAAAATTGTTGTTGAAAAAAATATATACTTTGCTGTTTGAAAATCTAAAAGAAAAAGAAGTTATGGACTATATTTAAGACTCAATATATATTTTTTAAAGCTATATTTATATAGGTAAAAAGGTGTAAAAATAAAAACATATGGTTAAGTACCTGGTATACCTGACTTGGTATGACTCTTTTTTTCAAGCTTCACCACTTTTGGTATCTATTTTGAAAGTTTTCGTACAAGTAATATTATAATGAACCGTTACAAATTCAGCAACATCAGCAACAAGCTGCAATTTTTTCATACTGCAGCCAACAGCTTTAGAACTGTTATCATACTCATTCCAGTAAGAAATAGTGTAAACTATGTCTTGAATACATATTTTAATCATACATAACAGACTTCAAATATTATATATCATTCCATTCATTCTACATATCATTCCATTCATTCTATATATTATATATCTATTATATATCATTCCATTCATTCTACATATCATTCCATTCATTCAAAATATATCATATATCTATATATTCCATATATCATACTATATTATTTCAAAATTATACAATTTTTTTACAGATTTTTTGCCAACATTTCTAACTGACATTACATTATCTAAGTCATCAAGTTGCTTGGTAGACTATGCATATAAATTCTTTATTTCGCTAAAAGAGAGAGTAAACGCAACTGTTGCTCTGAATGAATAGACCGCATAACTAAATTGTTGATCTAAACTATCAAGATAGTTGTAAGTTTGACTATTTTTTTTTATCCTAATTTTCACAATATATTACAAATTGTTGCATCAGGAGATTTTTTTTAGCCTCACTAAGGATTCTTATTGTGAATGCCTACGATTTCTGTCTCCTCCTCAAGAGTCTCGTTAACAAAAAGGGAGAAAAAAGTTTCTATATAGAGAACTTCAACTAAAATAAGACAATTAGAAGTTATCTTAATAAGGTGTTCATCAACGGAGCATAGTTTTTTTAATTGAAACTAAAAACCAAAAAATATTTGGTTTTCAGTTTCAAAAATATCTATTAAGATCAATTTCAAAAAAGTTGTTTGTTTGCAAAAAAGTGTTTTTTTGCAAAACATTTTGTACTACCTGGATACCACCATTATGGTCAAAATTAGTCTCCTTAACAAAGTTAAAATTAATAAACTTACCAGAGGTAGCAATTGTAGACAGAATTAAATATTACAGAAGAGAGATATAAGGAAAAAAAATTATTTTATTATATTACACATATATAAACTTATATTGCTATATATCAAAAAAAAAAAGATGTGATAAACAAACAAAAAAACAGCTTAACATTATGTAGTCTATACTCATTTAAAAAGTTCTAATTAATAAATTCAGTAGTAGTAGGAGTTGTAGATGGGACTATATACTAAATTCAGTAGTAGTAGGAGTTGTAGATGGGACTAGAAATTACAAACTACATAGAAAAGATAAATGAGAGTAAGAAAACTCTTTAATGTTATATATATAATCACATTATTATAGATAAGTGTGATAAAAGAAAAATTAAGTAATCTGCTGTTGTTTCTGTTCTGTTGTTGCTTGTTGTTGGTTGAATTTGACGAATTTTAAGATTATTATTAAAGGATCACTTATAGGTGATTATATAAAAATATATAACACACTTCATAATTTTATTTAATTCATTAATTATACATATAACATATATAAATTCTAAATTAACCTAATGAAATTCAAGTTTGTTCTGTACCCGTCGTACAACAACGGAAATCAGAAAGACTGAAATAAGGTACGAAAACTGTTCACCTTTATAAACTATCTGCTCAAAAATATTTTTGATAAAATTTGGTATGTCGATAAAAAATAGGTGTAAAAATTGAATAAGTTTGCAAACTATATGAGCCTTTGACACTAATTTAATATGAGAACAACAACTAAGTTTTTAATATAAATAAAGCCTGTACTTTTAGTTATGTTTCTAAAGTAGTCTATTTGCATCCCTACCACCTTAAAGTTTACGCCTTCTTATGAATAAACTCTCTATTAAGGAATAATTTTAGTGAAAAATCTCCAAAAAAGAGGTTTTGCTCTAAAATTATTCCTTGATAGTGAGTTTATTCATAAGGTTAAAAATTCTTAAGTAGGTTTTAAACCGTTGTTTAGATGAAAATTATATACATGTTTTAAAAGAAAGTAAATTTAAAAAGTTTTTTTAAATAAAAAAACATGCTAAAGTATATACAAAGATATTTTTATAAACATTTTCTTAATAGACGACCTCTAATTTCTTACATTTTCAAATTTTTTATTGAACGAAAAAAAATTTATCGATAGTATTTGCCGTTTTATTTGCTTTTTGATTTCCTTAGATCGGTAACAATACAATATCGGATTAACAAATGACTTTATGCAGGTTATTGCGTACGAGAACATATATGCCACGTGCGTCCACGGAATTTCTTTAGTACTAGTTTTAAACCTCCATGTGGCAGTAACCATTACATAAGGGGTGTAACAAAAATATAGTGATAATAAAAGAAGACAGGTCAAATAACTAATATTTACTTGCTTCTGCTTTCGACTAACTAACATTTTGTCGAACTTTCTTTCGTTTAATGATTCATAAGAAGAATTCGTTTTCATATAAACTACAGAACATATTACTGCAATTGAATTTGCGGAACAATTAACAGTTAACGACGTGAAGCTATTCTTCTTTGTTTTCTGCTTTTCAATATTTTTCCGGACATCCTTCACTTTAAATAATATTTTAAAATGAACATAAATGCTGTGAAGCATGAAAGTTGGTAAGGATAGTAAAATTGTAATTTCAATTAATTGTTTGTTAGGAGTTAAAAAACTAGCTCCATTTAAAGTAAAAACTATAGTAGATATAACAAGCACTAAACGGACATAGCAGTAAACGTTGCTACTGATTCTGTTTGAATAAAAAAATGGTTTAAATATAGCCAAATACCGATCAAATGAAATAAAACCTACAAGTAAAAATGACAAGTAAGAAAAAACATGAGATGTATATACGGCTAGTAAATAAACTGTGCAGCTGTGTTTTTGATGAAGACCTAACAACCAAGTTATTATCCATAAAGGCATACTAATAGTACTACTAAAACAATCACATAACGCCGTACTTGCTAATAAAATATTTGATGGAGTATGTAACTTTCTTGTTTTAAAAATAACAGCGAATGCAATAGAATTTAAAAAAAATGTCGGTGGTATTAATAAAATAAGAATAACTGCTGCAGTGTAAGTAAAAACTTTACATCTATAACACAATGGAATTATGTGAACGGTACTGCTGCATATGATATTATAGGTGTCCAAATAAGAAATGTTCATAATTTTTAAAGTTATTAATGTTGGATCTAAAAAGAAGTTTAAATACAGTTTATTTATTACTATTATATGATATGTATATTTTTTTAATAAAAGGTTCTTGCGTTAGTATTCAAGAAATATGTCTTAAAAGATAAAGTTTATAGAAAAATATTGTTACAATAAAAACTAAACAATCTTTTTATAAACACATTTTTAAAAATAATTCATTAATCAAAACGAAAGACACCATTAAAAAGAAAGCATTATTTTAGTTGCTATAAAAATAACAAGTTGTGAAAAGTAAACAATCCGGTGATTACATTAGGAATCAAGATAGGGAAGCAGCTGTCTTATTGATATGTATTGTTGTATATGAGAATGTGAAAGTAAAAAAAATAAATTTACATAAAGTTTTATATATCACAATTTTTAAGATGTGTGTAAGCGTGCGTGCATGCGTGTGTGAGTGTTTGTCTCTCTCTCTCCCTCTCTCTCTTTCTCTCTCTCTCTCTCTCTCTCTCTCTCTCTCTCTATATATATATATATATATATATATATATATATATATATATATATATATATATATATATATATATATGAACTTTAAGTTAATAATTACACGAAAAATTTGAAATATTCATCACGTGATCTTTATATTTTTGTTTACTAATCAAAAACGTCTTTTAATCAATAGGTAATTAAGAGATAACACATTTTTAAAAGAATTTATTTTAGAGCTTAACGTGTTATCAAAGTTTTCATTTCAGGTAAACAGTAACACTATGCCATCCCTAAACTTATTCATAGTTAGTATATTAAACATCTTATTTTTAATTTGAATTTACTTGCTGAATAAAGCTCAAATTTTAATTCATTTTTATTGTATATTAAGACACTTTATATAAAAACATTACAAAAAATATTTTGATAAATATATAAATATGATTTTATACTTACACATTTGAAAAAACATTTTTGTTATATATATATAGTTGTATATTATAGACAAAATTTAAGCCAAATTCAACTATAAATAAATTAACTTACAGTAAAACAAGCAACAATTTAAAATAAACCATCTTTTTAAATGGAAAAAATTTTATTTAGCTTATAGTCCATGCTCTATTCAGAATTTCAACACAAACCTTAATTGGTAAATATTATTACTAGTGCCGTGGCAAGGCATCCCCACCATCCACTCCAATAAAAAGGAAGGGGGGAAGGGAATTTTATTAAATTTTAACTATTTCGTAATACTTAATAGAAGGTTTTTTAGGTTTTTGGGGGTCTAATGACAGATTCTATGGAGGGGGAAATGGGTTCTCTAATGGGACGTTAGAGAATACGTTCATTAACGGCACTGATTATTACTTACATTACTATGTAGCTATATTATTAATATTATCAAAAGATATTAAATTATAAACGATATCACTACTTACTAACTAAAAATTAATAAAAACATATTTAAAAAATTGGTTTCTGTTAAAACTTTGAGTTGAGAATAGATTTTATTATAATATTCAATTTTTGCATTGAAAAATATATTTTTTAAATGTGTTTAAAAAAATTTCAATTACTTTTTTAAGAAAAAAAGATTATTTTAATCTTAATACTAATGGATAATAGAGACGTTATGTTTTCACTTTGAAACTCCTTCTGAAAAAAATTTTTTTTTAATGTAAAATTTGGGCTATTATTTATAAGTGATACTTGTCATAAATTGCTGCAGAGAATAATTCTTGTCCAATTTTGATCATCTTTCCATTTTTTTAGTTTTCTTAAAACTAATATAAAAAACAGGGAGAATAGATGTACTTCTTTAAAAAGTTATTTTCACCTTAATGTACGCGCCATTTAAAACAGCTGCATTGCAAAAATATTTTACACTTTTAAAAGAATTGTTATAAGTTTTGTGTTAGTTTGGCTCTTCCTTTAAACCATGAGTTTCACTGAAAACACAAGACACTTGGAAAAATGATTTCTTTGACTTCAAAAAATGGATTTTTTTTATTCGAAAAAAAAATTATTTTTTAAAACGGTTTTAAATATCCAAAAAAATACAAAGAATAAAAAATAAGAAAAAGAAAATAATAAAACAGAATAATAGCATAAAGAAACTATTCAAAAAAAAAAACAAATCAAAGTTAGCGTAATAAAAAACAAAGATATGCTAAAGAAATTATTAAACAATTAGTTTTTTATAAAGAAGAATAAAGTCAGATATGAAAGTTTTACTTTTTGTGAAGATTTTCATTTAAATGAGGAAGTAGTGACACATACTGACACCACTTTTTCAAAAAAGATGAGCAAAACAAAAAGATGCTAAATGCAACAAATTGGATTTATTTACAAATATTGTTAATAGGAACAGGTTTACAATTAGGTTTAATATCAAAAAAATAACTTATACCTTTGCTTGTGCTGTTACAAAATTTAAAAATGATTTATTATCATTGTATTTTAAACATATTGTTTGGAATAGGGTAAACCGAGGCGATTTCGCCACTTTTAATATTTCAAAATGGTTACAAATTCAATAATGATTGTGAAAGTGTTGATTGAATCCTTAATAAATCAATCAAGGTGATCTGTTTAGGTTTATTTGTTAAGGTTCCTACTGATATTTGTAAAGGTTTGGCACCTGTAGCAAGTTTAATCCTTTTAATCCTTGTTCATATGATTTTTGCGAGATAACTTGAGAAGCAATCTGATCTTTAACTTTAGCTGAGGTTTAAAGTTTTTCTAATACTTTTACAGCTGATTTTATTTCCACATTTGTGCTTTTTTCCCTTCCCAATGTTTGAAAGAAAAGCTTTACATATTTTTTCATGGGGTGCACGCAACTTGGAAAACTTACTACTTCTTCTTGCTCGGGTTCTTGCACGTAGACTGGTTAGTTTGCATATTTTACAGTGACAACTATTAGAATTTCTGGTTAAAGGTGTAACAATGTTTTTAGTCCAGTCTATCTTTAAATCCGGCAAGTAGTTTTTTCTACGTATATTATTTCTACATTTATCACAAATGCCAAGTGGATTTTTTGTATCAGTGCAATCTAAATGAAAAGTAAACACTTTCTCCTTTATCGATTGCTTATTTAGTAATCTTGATGTTTTGTGGGTGCAAAAGTAACAAATCTTTTTTCGGTTTGTGTCATGATCACACTTTTTTTGTGGATGGGACATAATAAGTATTTTTATTTATCTACAAAGAAAAACAAATATATATGTTTAAATGTGTATATAAATGATATTGCATACTTTGTTGAGCACTATGACGCTATACTGATTTAGGGGTAGGCGAGGGCTTCAGTACAACACATCGACTGATTTATGGAGAACATGCAAGGGAGTTGATAACACATCGAAGAGTCAGGGTAGGGGCAGGGATTATTTTATTTTCATTATTCTTTCTTTTCCCTCTTCTCTCATTTAAAGTGAGCAGGATTAAAGTGAGCAGTTTTCTATTGTTTTGCTTATCTAAACACTCTATCTCTAGTATATATATATATATATATATATATATATATATATATATATATATATATATATATATATATATATATATATATATAAAGAAGATGTTCAAGACCGTGTATCTTGGAGAAATGGCATTATGAGAAACGTCCAACCCGTGCAAGCACGGAAACAAGGATGCTAAAACGATGATGATGATGATGATGATGATGATGATGATGATGATGATGATGATGATGATGATGATGATGATAAATTTTCATGAAAGTATCAAATTTTCATGTTAATGTATTCCCCCCTGAACTTTGGGGGAAAATTCCAAAATTGGACCCTTTTAGCCCCTAAAACGTAAATATTTTGCTAAAAGGAATTTTATGATTTCGGTGACATATTAAACCTAATTCTGCTCATTGTAACAAATCCAATAATGTATGACAATGGCCGGGGTCAAATCGCAAAACTAAAAAGTGGTTGCAGGCAGGTGTGCGTGGTATTATTATCTTATATTTTTACGTTTGATTATATTATGTCATGTAGTTATAACGTAACGATGTGTAAATTTATTAAAGTTGTAAAAAAAAAAAAAAAATTTCCCTATCTTTCTAACCACTAAAAACATAACATTTGAAACGAGCTCCGGACGTTACGGTAGGGAAAGAGGTGTGAACTTCCTGTACTGATAGGTGTGAACTTCCTGGGAACCTGGGAAATAGGTGTGAACTTCCTGGAACTTAGTGTACAAAACACAAAATGCAAATAATGTTTACGATTTTATAATGTTTTTTCTCGCATTCTTCGGTAAATAATTTAATAAAGCATTCCCTGTAATCGAACAAAATATTAATTTTAAGTCTATTTTAAAACCGTGGATGACAAAAGGTTTAATCAAATCATCAAAGAAAAAACAAAAACTATATGAAAAATACCTAAGACATAAAACATATTATAGTGAAATAATATACAAAAACTACAAAAATTTGTTTGAAAAAACCAAAAAGTTTAAAAAAAAAATTTTATTATGAAAAGCTATTGTAAAAAACTAATGGAAATACAAAAAAAAATTGAAATAGTTAGTAAAAATATTTCAATTAAAAACAATTTGTCACCAAAACTGTTAATTGATGAAAAACTTGTTTATGATAAAGAAACCATAGCTGAAAAACTAAACATCTTTTTTCTTGAGATTGGTCCAAATCTGGCGGCTAAAATTCCATCAAGTACCATAAAATTTGAAACTTACCTCATAATAGCAAATAATGTTATGACAGAACTAAATTTAAGTATAAGTGAGTTGCGTAATGCTTTTTCCTCTCTGAAAAATAACAAAAGTGCAGGCATAGATAAATTAGCGTCAATTTAGTTAAATCAGTTTTAGATATTATTGAACCCTTATTGTTTCACATTTTTCATCTCTCGTTAACGTCTGGTATTGTACCAGATAAACTTAAAATAGCTAAAATCACACCGATTTTTAAGTCTGGTGAAAAAACAAATGTTTCAAACTACAGACCTGTTTCTGTATAACCGTGTTTCTCTAAATTACTAGAACGCATTATGTACTATAGACTTTATGATTATTTAATATCAAATAATATTCTGTACAAAAAGCAATTTGGGTTTAAAAAAAATCATTCTACGGATCACGCGGTAATTGAACTTGTAAACCATATAGCGGATGCTTTAGATAAAAATTATTTTACTTTAAGAGTTTTTATTGATTTATCCAAAGCATTTGACACTGTCATTCATGAAATCCTTATAAAAAAATTAGAAGTTTACTGACTAAACAACTTAAACTTACTTTGGTTTAAAGGCTACTTGACTAACAGGAAACAATGCATAACCTATGAAAAAAATGAAACCAAAAAAAACTTATAAGTTGCGGGGTTTTCCAAGGATCTATCTTAGGACCATTATTGTTTCTAATGTATATAAATGACTTATTTTTAGCATCTAAAAGCTTATATCTTATATTGTTTGCTGACGATTCCAATCTGTTCTTTTTACACAAAGATATAAAAACTCTTTTTAAAATTTTTAATGAAGAACTATCTAAAGCAAACGTATGGTTTATAGTAACCACTTTTCACTAAATGTAGATAAAACTAAATTCATCCTGTTTCACAAACCAAATAAAGTGGATGATATTCCACTTAAACTGCCAAATCTTTTATTTAATAAAACAGATGTAAAAAGGGAATCTACTGTTAACTTTTTAGGAGTAATTCTTGATGAAAACTTGTCATGGAAGTTTCACATCCAAGAAAGTTGAAGTTTCATTTCCATTGAAAGTAAACTCGCTTATAATATTTCCGTACTTTGTAAAACAAAACCATTTTTAAATACTAAAGCTCAAATCACAATTTATTTTTCATTTATTTACAGCTATCTTTCTTACTGCAACATTGCATGGGGAAGTACGAACTACGGAAAACTCAAAAAACTTTCTAGTAAACAAAAGCATGCTTGTTGGATTATATAGTAATACAATAGACATTAAATTTTTTTTTTTTTTTAAAGGTGATTTTAAAATAGAAAAAATGTTTCCATTAGCACTAAATAGAAATATATATATATTAGGGTGGTCCATAAAACAACTTTTTTGAGAAAAACCTGCTGACACCCCCTAAATGTGTTTTATCTAATGCAAAAACACTAGGTTTAAAATTTTTTTGAACAAAAATTATTTTTAGGGGTTGCTCAAGGCCCTCAAAAATTTGACGGGTCCCTAATATTTTGAAAAAAAAACTTTTTCTAAAGTATGTCAACCTGGTACTCAAAAGAAGCGATATTGTATAAAAACTTCAAAAATAATAATCATTTTACATAAAAAACATGCCTCAAAAAAATTATTCTCAAAAAACCTGAAAATATTGACTTTTTTTATTTTCAGCTTAAAAACAATAGTTTTTATGCATTTATACCTAAAAAAATTATTTTTATAAAAAATTATTATCATTTTTAAATTTTTTATATAATTTTGCTTATTTTGAGTACCAGGTTGACATACTTTAGAAAAAGTTTTTTTTTCAAAATATTAGGGACCCGTCAAATTTTTGAGGGCCTTGAGCTACCCCTAAAAATAATTTTTGTTCAAAAAAATTTTAAACCTAGTGTTTTTGCATTAGATAAAACACATTTAGGGGGTGTCAGCAGGTTTTTCTCAAAAAAGTTGTTTTATGGACCACCCTAATATATTATATATATATATATATATATATATATATATATATATATATATATATATATATATATATATATATATATATATATATATATATATATATATATATATATATATTGTTAAATATGTATCAAATATATTTGTATTAGTATACAAAACTTTGTTTATTTTTAAATCAATATAAAAGTTATTTTATTATTTGACTTAAAGTTTTGTACTTTTTAACTTTTTTGTATATATATTTTTTTTTATAAACACTGACAATATGTAAACGGGGCTCTGTGATAAGGCAGTCAATGTCTTCTTCTTCTGCCAGTTTTTGTAAATGTTATATGTCTTAATTGTAAATATATGAAACGGAAAAAAAAAATAAAATTGCTAAATGTTTGTTTTACTTTTATCCTTGCTCAATTTTGAAAAAAAAAAAAAATTATTCATGTGAGTAGATTGTTACAGATAATAATCTGCTCATGTGGCAGATTATTACAGAGGTAATGTAATAACGTAATTACAGAGGGTGATTAATGAGCTAGCGACTAGCGAGTTCATTAATCACCCTATGAAACGACCGGTGAAAAATGAGCTAGCTCATTTTTCACCCTCTAGCGACCGGTGAAAAATGAGCTAGCGACTAGCGAGCGGCTAGCCAGCTTTATAGCGATTTTCAAGCAATTTTTTTTTCTTGCTTTATTTTTTCCTAATGTCTTTAACACCTTTGAAAATTCGATTCGTAGTGTTGGGTCTATTATAATTATGAGAATTAGCAGTAAGCAACCCGTAATACGCGTAAAAAGCCTAGAAACTACTTTAAAATAGAAAAGCCTAGAAAATGACGTAATTCGACTAATAATATTACAGGGTTATGCAAAATTATAAAGGGCTTTATGCAAAATTATAAATTGTTTTATGCAAAATTATAAAGTGCTATATGCAAAATTATAAAGTGCTTTATGCAAAATTTCGAATCGGTTAATAAATCCATTTAAAGCATAAAAAAGTTCGAATATATGATTTATTTATATATAAGCTCATGTCATTTAACATTTAGACTTCAAAAAATTTATATTAATTTAAGCAACTGCTTTATTCAAAAATCATGTTTTGTTTAGCTTTTTCCAACCATCGTTTCATTGATCTCCAAAATCCACTTAATTCTTCGTTAATTTCACGCATTTGATTAAAAATTATTTCCAATGCATCTCTAATATTAATTTCATTATTTAAAGCTTTTATTCCGCGATATCTTGCGTTTATCATTCTAAAAAATTCCTCAATGGGATTTAATTGAGAAGGCCATGCCGTTAAATATTCTCTTTTTATTCTTAATTCATTTAAAACTTTTATAATACTTCTTGATCTGTGAAATGGAACATTTTCCATTATCAGTATATGGTCTGGGTTTTGTCGGAAATAATTACACAGGTTATTTCTTATAAATCTTTCAAAGCTTTCAGCATTATAAGCTCTAGTTCTTAATTCATAAGCAACCACACCAGAAATATTTATTGCACACATCAAACTTCGATTTGTATTACTGTTTCCGGAAACAATGGAATATGCCTTTTCATTTTTTTGGGAATACCCAGTCTAAAAAGACCAATTTATCAATAGAAATACGCGAGATACGGCGGGCATATATGGCCCTTTTTTCAATATTTGCTAGGGAATTTCGTTCTTCGGGAACCAATGAAAGCCTATTTCGCGTTATATTTATTTTCCGCAATTTCCTTAATACTGTTGATTGAGATATTACCATACCGGTTGCTGCACTAACTTCGTTTACCATTTCATTTTGTGTCAGTTCATTATTTATTGCTATCGTATTAAATAAAGTATTTTCGATTTAACTGAACAACAAATTTTTGTTTTTGATTGTTTGCTTGTGGTGTTCTCCCTTGGTAGCAAATTTGATGCCTTATCGATGATTTCTTATGCAGTATCTTACAGCACTTTGGCTAATGTTTAAAGTTTTGGCAATGTATTTGGTTGAATGATTATTTATCGAATTAGACATGTTTATAATTGTTTCATGAATTTCCTTAGATATTGTTATTTGCCATGTAAGGTTTTATATTTTTATTTTTCAACATTAATTTAAAAAACTTGCATTAATTAGATAAAAACGTTACTGATTTGGTTTATGTTTTTCAGCCAGTTAGTCATTTAATTTTTAATTACAATTTAATATTGTATTTTAATTCCTATGCATTCTTAGATGATTCTGAAAATGGCCTGTGCTATTATAATGGCATTTATTTATTATGTTAAATAAAGCACTTTATAATTTTGCATATAGCAATTTATAATTTTGCGTAAAGCACTTTATAATTTTGCATAAAGCACTTTATAATTTTGCATAACCCTGTAAATTAGTGTATTAATATTGAACCTTTAAACAAAATATCTACAAATCTATAGGCTGGTAGCTACATATCAAAATTTTTTTGACAACGATTTTATTACAATATGACTTAAGCTGCAATAGCCAGTGGGTTTTTAGCTTATTAAGCTAGCTGTCCTCGTAGCCAAATTTCTGTCTTTATCATTACAAATATCGATAGCTTTTCGCTAACTTAAAAAAGCTAGCGATACTCGTGGCCATATCGTTGTGTTTATCGTTACGATTATAGCTCGCTTTTCGCGAAATATCAGGGCTTATTTTGAAATAATTGAGGGCTTATTTTAAAAGTAAAATAAAATTTTTTGAGTCTGAATTACGGAATTTAAATTTACTTAAGTTAAAGTTAAAGCACTTTATGCTAAAGTACTTGCTTTATAAATATTCTTTGGTTTAAATGTTAACGCTTGCAATGTTTTTATCAAAATAATTGTTCGTTTTTTTGTTAAAATTAAATATTAAGTTAAGTTATATTTATTCATTTTGTTTCAAAACTTTAAAAAATTTAAGACCAATTTTTCATGGTAACATACCGCTAAAACTAGTCTTATATTGTAGGTAATTGTATTGTATGATAAAAATATTTTACCGAGAAGCCTGGCATTTTTTGGATATTCTAAAAAACCCCATTCAAATCGTTTGACAATCGTCTCTTTTACTTGTGATTCTTCGATTGTCTTTTGACACTTTGTTTATCATTTATAATGATGATAGGCAAATGATTTGCCTAATCTTAAATATAATAATAGTACTTTTCACATTTTTAAATTAAAACTAACAACAAATTTGAGAGCTATAAATTAATATACAGTTTAAATTTAGCATTACTTAAAAATGAACAACTGGGATATAGCTGCCAGTGACGATGAGTGGGAACAATATAATTGCAATGATCCAATTCCTATAAGGTTTGCATATTTATTTAGTGACATAGCTAACAAAAAAAATTTATCCTTGTCTTGTAATTGTGCTCGAAAAGGTGCATTAAAAGTATCTGAGAAACCAGTTCAAGAAAGTATTTCAAATACACTACAATATCAGCCATTGATTGATAATCCTACATTAAAAGATGGAAAAATACCTGAAAGAATATAGTAAGAGTGTTTTTATTATTCGATTTTAATCATTTTTAAAATTGTATGATTTTTTAACCATACTTATACACTTATACTTGTATATGCGCACATTTTTATTAGAACAGATAAAGAAACTTTCAAGTTATTGAAGATATAAAAAATTTTTCTTAATTAAATTTATATTCTAATGTTGCTGCTTATGCTGACATTTTCCAAAGAAATATTCATAGATGATATTTTATCTATTCAAAAACAAACTAAAAGTATAAATTAAAAATAAATGCAATATATTAGAATACATTTTAAATAATAAAGTATAATTAGGCTTAACATACGTCTCGTTTTGACCAGGATTGTCCTATTTTTTATACCATTTGCTTCAGTCCATTTGACCTGGATTGTCCTTTTTTTATCACTCCCATCCTTCTATTTCACTGCCTAATTATTTTAGTTTACTTTGTCAACAATATTGCGACAGTTGTTTGCAGTAAATAACTGAGTTTTGTTTGAGTCAAACGCCACAAGCAAAAGAGAAATAAGAAGAAATTTCATCTGCTTATTCCAAGATGGCTGCTTGTTGTAAATGATCAAAAAGTGAAGGCTTTTTGTCAAGATTGTCCAGAAGATTGTTATTGTAGATAGAAAACATTACAGGAGTATAGACAGAACCTTGCAGTACAGTAAAGTTTCTGGAAATAAAAAAGAGTGTAGGCCTATTGAGAATGTCTTTTATACTGCAGTTAGAAAGAAGTGATTTAATAATCTCAAAACCTTTATAAAAAGAAACTAATAAAATAAAATTGAGTGACTAATTGTAGAATAGGTCGGGAGGGCAGAGTTAAAAATTGAAACCACTTATTTAGCACTTTTTTTTTTTTTTTTTTATTTTTCACCTCCCCACTACAGTCAAGGACTTTTTTTTCTCGTTTTTTTTTTTTTTGTTGTAAATTGTGGTTTAACCCTCTCTCAACTCTTTAACTCTGAAACACGAACCTTGACAATCAAGGCCGCTGCGCGGTGAAATTAAGTTGAGCGCAATACTTCCAGGGATGTGGGTGGGAGTCGAACTCCGAACCTCTTGCTTACAAAGCGAGCGCTCTTACCACTACACCACTACCACATAACTTATTAACAGTTTAGCAAGAATTAAAGAGAATTCTAGATAAAACATAGTCTTTTGTAAGACTATGAAGGAAATGTTGCCTGAACCATAAGCCGTAGAAGAATTTATTTGAGAGTTGACTTGAGCATTGAAAGCCAGAACAATTTGGATGTCTAATAATGGGTTAATCTGTTCAACTGGAACGGCAGGCAGAGTATGTTCATTAGATTTAAGAGTTAAATTAGAAAAAAGTTGTTTGTAAATAACTCTGTCTTATTCTGGGAAGAATTAATAATCAGACCTATGAATTAGAGATGGAATGTTAGACTTTCTTGAGTTAATGATACTGTTAATAATTGCCAAAAAGTCTCAAGAGCCTAACATCTGAGATTATATAAAAGATTTAGTAAAATTATAATAACTGGGCTAAGCAGGCAGGACCTTTTTACTTTGAATTCTTGCAATAATTAAAAAAACATGAGAAAAAAAACAGTCTCATAAGAGATGTTCTTGTATAAAAGATAAAAAAAAAAAATAGATTCCAGTTTGATATAGCAACTGTACAATAAGTACAAAAATGACTCTAATAATACAGCAAAAAGAGCCATAATATTAGACAGAGATTAGAAAATACGTTGTATTAAATAACCTTTGTCAGAGAAGATTGGTTTGAGTATAAGCATGTAGAGAGATAGCACTATTAGGAAAAGTTGGTAGATGTAGAAGAAAACTTGGATAGAGTGAATTACATATCAGACCTTGTGATGAAGCGGGAACAATCACTCCACAGTATAATACAGACAGTATAATACTTATCACTTTTTAAATTAAATGTGCTAAATTTAGCACTTTTTAAATTAAATGTGCTAAATAATGAATATTTTGCAATAGTTAATACATTGATTAATGTTAGGTAAAGGATAAGCATCAAGTAGTGTAAAGCAATTTATTGTTTGTGAGTAATTACTGACCATGCGTTTCTTATGTCTCTCATTCTTAGTAACAACTATTGGTGATCACCCAGGAAAGTTACTGGGTTTATTTAGTTTTTATTTAATTATATTTAGTTTCAAAATTTTTTTTGTTTCTTGTTCAATGAATACTTTGTCTATACTGAGTTGTATTGTCTAGAAGGTGAAGCAATTGGTCTACATTCTGGAAATAGAAAAAGGAAAAGAGTGCTAGCTTTCATTGTAACACTTGTTAGAGAACAGATTTTTAATGAGTCTTTTTCGCCACCATAATTGATATAAAGACTTTGGTGCATCTGTACAAAATCTCTACCAAGTATGATTTGTTCCTAAGAATTGGGTATAACCAAAAAGTGACGTTTTTTCTTGAGTCCTTAATATAAGGAGGGAGAGGGAATAGTTGGAAATTTAGTTCAGATCTAATAAACGATGGGGTTGGAGTGGGGTTAATGGGGGTGGGGGTGAGGTTAATAAAATGGGGGTGAGGGTTAACAAAGAGAGGTGGATTATTTTATTTTACAATAAAAGTATTTTTTATAAAAAAGTTCAGTTTATAAATTGGAACCAGTATATTTTAGAAAACACACTTACAACTATTTAATTCTTGCACGCCTTTTTCAAACAGCTGTTTTATCATAATTTCAATAGGAATTAATATGTTGGCATAAGTTTTATACTTTAGTGAGAAATAAACCAAAAGCTCAATTTCAACAAATCAAGGTTTAGTAGGTCGGCAATTTTTAAAGCCTGTTTACACTGAAAGTTTTCAGTGGGTAAAAAAAGTATTTTCTAATTTTTAAGGCCAATTTTCACTGATTTTTTTTTTTTTTTTTTTTTGCAGAAATTTAAGCAAGCTCAGTAGTATAGACCTTGTTTTAGATAAAAAATGCTTAAAGCAATAGCCTAATGTGAACTTGATGTTATAAAATTCTCTTTATTTTTTATTTTTTTAAAAACATTAACTTTTTTAAATTACCAAAATAATATTAATTACCGCAAAACAAGATGTTATATTTACTTCTTTTTTATTATTACTATAAGGAAATGTTTATTTTCTTTTTTTTTCTTAATTTAAATAATTAAATTTTGTATTATATTTTAAAAAATGTTTGATGTTAACAAATTTATTTCTTTTCTCAACATTGAATGAAAATATGTTAAATTTTTGAATTTTTAAATGATTATTTCTTAAATTTCTAATTGCGGCTTTGCAACTACAAATAATTTTTTATTTAAAAAAAATTAGTAACATAAAAAAAATTTATTTACTTTATTTATTAAAAGTTTATTATTTTATTAACGATTATGTTGTGATTATTTTTTCAAACATTTGTTAAAGTTATATCGCTGTTTATTGTTTATTAAAAATATTCACTGACTTGCGTTATTAAAAAAAAAAAGTTTAATTTACGTTTTGTGCAAATTTTTGATGCAGCTGTTTATTTAATTTTGAGTAAAAAAAAACAAACAATAAAAATGAGCTAATTTTTTTTAAGAACAAATAAAATATAAATATTGAACAATATTTAGTAATATTTTTAAATAAATTTGTCAGTTTAGTTAAAACCAAGAATTAACTTTAATTTTAATAAACTTTAATATATTTTTTAAATCAAAATTAAATTTTTTTTTTATCAGATTAAACTAAATATTTTTATTAAATTAGTTTTAAATCAAATCATATATTTTTATTAGAATTAAATTTTTAGTATTTTTAAAGTATTAGCATTTTTCGAGCGAAAAAATCAATCATTTCAATAAAATAAAAACAAAAAAAAATAAATTTTTAATTTTATTTGAATTTTTTTCATCAGTAAATTCCCCTTATATCTAACATTGTCATTCAAACTTTCGTAACAAATATTTTGACATAGTTGCATTTAAAAGTTAATGTTTTTTTTTTTTTTAATTAATCGCTTCTTTTATCTTTCCGCTTATAAAATAATTTAAAAGTTAAAAAATCACTTACTGCTTACATAAATTCGCTTAAGGCATATGTAAATCGTTCTACGCGTAACGCTTTAAAACAAGGCCCATAGTACATTCAGAATGTTTATTACTTGTAGGAACATTACTCAACTCATTGTGTGAATAACTTTTGTTATTTCTTTGAGCATTTTCAAATGAACAAGTTTGATTGTAGGCCCCATTAAGTTAATTTGAAAAATTGATTGTCCCAATAAGTTTAAGAGTAAAGTTTCCTAGTAGTCATAGACAAATATGATGACCACTTAGACTACTTATAAATGAATCACGTATTTTTCACAATGGTCTGAAGCAGAATCTGTTTACTGTTGCCTCTGCTTACTTTTTTAAACTCCTTACTGAGTGTACCTACACATGTAGGCCTGCAAAAACTCATCAATAGTTTTTCCAGATGATTGTTTACGTGATGTCTAGAAAATAATTCATTTTTAGGTTTTACAAATAAGTTTTCCAGAATTTCTATAATGCCATCAAATGATTGAATGTTGGCAATATAGTTGAACATGAAAGGAGATAAATAGTTAATGAGGACATTTCTGTTTGTATAGTTTTCATAAAGGTTGTAATAGTTCTATGCGAAAGAGTGTTTGCCAATTGTCTGAAAAAGTTTTCTTTTTTTTTTGAGAGTAAATAGGCACATATAAATGTCAAAAATGCTCTTGAAATTTTTTCAATAATTTTTTAGCTTTATTTGTTAGTGTAGTTTTATCCTTATTATAAAATAGTACATCCTTGCATTTTTTTTTTTTTTCAGCTACCCTGTCATAGCAGAATTTTAGTTTCAATTTATGTTATGTTTCAATTTAAGTATCTTCAATAATGATTGAATTTTGGTTTGAATGTGTAATCTTTTTTATTGCATTGTTCTACATTTTCTGGTTTTTGAAAAAAACATTAATTACAGTTCTGTAGATTACAAATTTATCTATAAATGTAAAATTCATCTATAGATACAAAGTTCTCACACAAAATTGATTTCGTCATTTTGCAGCTCACAAAGCAAAACACAATCAAACCTGGTTGAAAACAAACTTGCAGACAACTCTTTAGTGAAAGTTGTTCAACATCATAAATCATCATCATGAAAAAACTGATTTTAACATGTTTTGTTTTTTAATATGTTATTCATATTAGAAAATGAATGGTTTTATTGAAATTTACTGAAATATCAGAAAATGAATGTCTTTATTGAAATCTAATGAAATCAACTTGTTTGACAATTATTTTCAAATAAGTCTCTAAAAAATTTTGAGATAAAATATATAAATATATCCTTTTGTCAAGACATTTACTTTTTGTGTGTGTCCATCCATTGTAAGGATAGAAGTCTAAAAAACACATTATTTATTCTTTTTCAAGAAAATAATTTATCTACAGATTAAAATGACAAAGCAATGGCTCAGTCATTTTTAATCTGCAGATTAAAAATGACAAAGCACTGGTTTTGGTGTTGGTAAATGAAAAGGGTAAAACAAAATTTGGTATATAAAAAAAAACAGTAAAATTACTTATAGCACTTTATTTATTCAATTATTAAGTCAATAATAAAATATTTTTGTGGATAAAAACTTTATGTCATTCTATTTTTGCTTCTCAACTTTGTTTTTAAGTAATTTAAAAAATTCCTTATGTATCGCTAAACAGTTTATAACATTTGTTTTGCATAATGAAAGTAATTTTTAAAAAGATATTGTTGCAGCGCTATTTTACATTTAATAGAAATAATGACTTTTGCTCACAGAGTCAGAAAATTGTCATTCACCTTTTCAAATAGTTACTTTCATATAGTTCTTGGGTTCTTCTTTAAAATGTGTTGTTCTTATAAACGTATTAAAATGATATTTTGTGGAGGAAAAAGCTCCTGACTAAATAACCTTTTTTTAATCTATTTTTTTACGGTAGCTATTTAATAAGTTATTAATTTTTTTTTTTAAAGCCCAACATTTGAAGCATTTGATTTTAACAATGAAGAAAGTGAAAGGCAATCTGCTAAAAGAAAAACACCAAGTGGTAAGTGTATTCAGTTGTTTGAACTTGAATTGTAATATTTTTATTTCACCTAAATACTATAAAAATCACTATTAAAGTTTAAATTAGATTTATTTAAATGTTAAGTTCCAATAGTATCTAAGAAAGTATTTAAGAAACTAAAAAAACTGGTAGTAAATATAAGAAACTAAAAAAAACTGGTAGTAAATAAAAGAAACTAAAAAAACTGGTAGTAAATAAAAGAAAGTAAAAAAACTGGTAAACAGAAGCAATAAGGTAGGGGTTTGGTAATAAGACAGAATTTGTCTTCTTGCCCCAGTCGTGTATTTACGTTTTATAATAACTAATTTTGCAAATTTTTCTTTATGGTAAAATATATAATAATAAAAAAAATTAACCACTCGATTTTTAAACATTCATTTTTATTTTAATGTTACTGTTTATTAAAGCCATAGTTTTTGAACAACCTTAGCAAATAATTAAAAAAAAAAAAATTTTTTTTTGATTTCATTTTTCAAAGCATATTTTTTTATAAATTTCCCCAAATCATCCAATATTTTAAAAAAATGTTCTTTATGTGAGTTCAATTCATAATTCAAACCACAAAAATTATAACATTTAAATAGAGTTAATTTTTTTTTTAACTTTCTTTTATGCAAAAATTTACAAACTTTTGCACAAAAGAAAAAACTTTTGATAAAACTTTGTTTCATTAAAATCATTAAAATTTAAAATTTTTAATGAAACAGTTTCAATGAAGCAGTTTGTAATTGGTTGCATATTCATTTGCCTTCAAAACAGCACCACAGTGATGAGACATCAAATAAACTAAATTAATGACAACATCTTGAGAAATGTTATACAAACATTCTTTAATACAAATAAATGGGTTTTGTTAATTGCTTTTTGACCATTTAATTGCTTGTAGATGCACTCACAAAGATACTCAATAGGATTGAGATCTGGGCTCTGTAAAAGTTATTCAAGAGCATTTGGATCATTATCTGTTGTAAGATTTGCAAATCATATAAATCATGATTTTTTAAAGTTCAGAAACTAAACTCATACTAACTTTTCTTTGTGATGTGTTCTTAATTTTGTTTTTAATCTTTTCACAATTTATGCGAAGACTGAAGAACAAAAAAATCTGTGTATTACATCTTCATTTTTTCTACTGTAAATGTACTCCTTATGCTATCATGAATTTAGATTTTTAATTTGTTAGTAATTAGTGCTTTTTAATGTGTTGGTAATTAAAACATTAAAAAGATGGTTTTCTGATTATAATTAAAAAGTTTAATTTTTCAAAGTAGAATTGTTTTATCTTTATTGTTGCGAGAAATGCAATAATTCTCTTGAATTTTTTTTATTTTTTTATTTCTTTAGTTTTTATTTTTTTATTTTGAATTTTATTATTTTTTAATCTTTTTTTTTAATTTTTATATTTATTTTTTGTTATCTTATAGTTTTTATTTCTTTTAGTCTATTCATTTTCTTTCTAACTATAGGTTTTTTATTACAGGTTTTGATCTTTTACTGTAAATGTTAAGAAATCAAGCGAGTGTTCTTTAAAAAATAATCAAGCAAGTGTGCTTTAAAAAATATTCAAGCAAGTGTGCTTTAAAAACTATTCAAGCAAGTGTGCTTTAGAAAATAATCAAACGAGGGTGATTTAGAAGTGCTTTACTATATTGCTACTGACATCTCTGAAGTGTTATGGAGTTTTTTTGATTTTGCAGTTAGCATGAATGTTAAAAATCTGAAAGCAAATCAGGTTCTCAATTTTTACACTTGCTTGAGCAATCTATTAAAGCATTCTCTTCTAATTGTTCTATATAATTTTTGTTAATAAATAATTGTTATAATTTTTGTTTCTATATGATTTTTGTTTCTTTTCTTTTGATTGGAACCATTAACTGTGTTTAAATTTTTAAAAATATACTTAATTTATCCTGATTGGTAATTAATCAAAAAATTTATTTATTGCTTATTCTTTTACCTTTTTTTTTATTCAAATAATCTTTATCATTAAATTAAAATTAAATTTACACTATTTACCCAGTTCACTGTTAACTTGGTTCACTGTTTACAAAATAAATTGAATCTTTAAACTATATGGATGGACTTTTAACTATGGACTATATGGATATTAAGTTAGGTACATACAAGTATCATAAGGCTTTTTTTTTTTACCAATTATAAAAATGTAATAGTAATTACGCAAGCAATTGTTAATTGAAAAGCCACTATTCACATCCACATTGCACTAAAAAAGGGTGATAACTGAAAAATGAGAATAATTTAACCCTCTGATATTCAACCACCAAAGTCAAAAAAAGAAAAGTATGCTTATGTGAAACTATACTCTCTCTGTTTACAAATTTATCAGATGTTTTGTTTTGCATCAGCTAATTCAGTTATGTTTAAAATGCTGTCAAAACAATATAATATGCTGTCAAATACAAATATAAACACAAGTTTGAGCAGATAGTGATGCTGTATATTGCCATATCTGAGAATGGAATTTCCAAGCCATGGTTCAAGCCAAGTGGTTTGGCTATTATTCAAGAAGTGTTCCAGAATCAAGGTTTGAAGAAAATATTGATTCTATTTCTTTTAAAAACATCATTTAGATGGTAATTACGTGTTCTGGCTGGATAGCATCGTCGTATTATGCCAAAAAAACACAAATCTACAAAACATTCCATATGTACCAAATAACCGCAATCTAAAAATCATGCCTCAGTGTCGCCCAGTTGAAGATTTCTTTGATTATTTGAGTCTGTCAGTATACAAAACAATTGGAGAGCCAAGAGTTGCAAACAGTTACCTGAATCAAAAGATGCATTTGTCAAATCAATATAAATACCATCAGTTTTTATTGAAAAAGAACTGCAACTATTGTTACTATAGCAACTATTATACTTTGCCAATTGTACAAATCCAATACTTAATTTCAGCACCAATCAGTCATTCTTTGCTAAAGCGACATTCTAGACACTGTTTTTAGGAAGGGTGTTTTTATTAGATTCTGCAGCAAAGAAATAAGTTACTAAATTTTTTATCTCTGTGCTATAAATGTAACTGCTTGTGCTTGACTTGGACTTCACAGATTTTATTTGCAAATTATTTAAAATCTTACTTAATAACACTGGCTTGTAGCATATTTTATCACGAACGAATCCATGATATGGCTTGGTTTTAAAACAAATCAATTTAATAAAGCTTACACTAAACGGTTGAGAAAGATATTAAAAGAAAATATTTTATACACAATATTGTAAAAAAAATTGTAGTAAAAAAGGTTATAACAAATAAATTGACCTTCAAACAATTATTTATCAATTCTGTTTTAAGCGCTTTAGATAATCCAGTTGATTGTTTTTTTAATAAAATTTTCAGCAGACAGTAGAGCCATCCTTATATTTTAAAAATGCTTTGAAATAGTTTTTGAAGATATATTGTGATAATATATTATATATTGAAGATATTTTGAAGATATAGTGTGACCAAGGTATATTGTGATGTATAGTCTATAGTTATGTTTTAAGTAGAATCTGAATTATTTTATGGAAGTTTTTATTTGTATTTTTAAATGTATAGTTTATTCAGAATGAATGAATGATGTCCGCGTTTATATGATAACGATCAATTTAAAGTTTTCAAATAATAAATTTTATGCTCTATTCTATTCTTGTCAGTTTTCTGGACAATGTACTTTCTGGATAGACAGTTTTCTGGACAATGTACTTTCTGGATAGACAGTTTTCTGGACAATGTACTTTCTGGATAGACAATTTTCTGAACCATGTACTTTCTGGATAGACAGTTGACAGTTGGCAAACTTAACTATTAAGTTATGTATTTAATAATTTCCATTAAAAAGTTAATATTTGGCTATAGAAAATAATCTGTACAATATCAGTTTAGTTCCTATTTGTAAATTGCAGGTTTTTTTTTTTTTTTTTTTTTTTTTTTTTTTTTTTTTTTTTTGTCGACATATTTTATCAAATAAAAATATTTCAATTTAAAACAAATATATTTCTTTTTTTGTTTATTTTGGATTCATTGTTGCCTATATTGGTTTTGTTTTTCTTAGTGTTTTTTTGATTTTATTTATTTAGGTAAGAGACTTAAAAAAGAAAAAATATCGAGTAGCATGTCGAATGTTATGAACGATTTATTGAGAAGCAAACTACTTGACGAACTTGAAGCGTCAAAAACTACGGTAACCGAAAGCTAAAACCGCAAAAAACATCGTAAAATGATTATGAGCATATGATGGCGTCAGTTATATAGACTTCGATTGATTAAACTTTGCGTTCTAAAAATACTTTTAAAAAACGTTGTACTTTAAAATAAGTTTATCTACGTTTTAAGTTCAAGAACTATGCTAAATTTTGAAAACTATGCTAAATTTTGAAAAAGAGGATAACGCGAAGATAACGAAAAGTACGGAGAAAAAAATGATGTTCATGTAAATATTTACATCTGTTAACAAACATAATTCTATATAAGTTGTATTAAAATAGTAAATATAAAATAAATTAGTCTAAAAAAAAATCTTTTTTCAACCAAATTGTTTGTGGCAATACATACATACATACATACAGGCTTGACTTTGAACCGACGAGAAGGAATAACTACATTATGTGTAGTAAGTATCAGCGTAACTTTTTAAGTCTGTGTAGAAAACACCATGTCAATACTAGGACGTATTTTGAAAACACACGCACGCACCCTTAATACTTAAAATGCACTGTAACAAAAAAAATTATTTCCTCGATTGATTTTTTTTAAAAAGTTTGTACAGTATCGGAACGTCCTTAAACTCTGCAACAAATAAAAAATATTAAAATTTGTTTTGAGGCCTTAAAATAATAATCTAATCCTTTATTGACAAAAATGAATAAAGCTAAAAACAGTTTAAAGTTTGCGGATTTTTAAGTTGTTGCGATGTTTATTTCTGACAACACTACAATACCTTTTTAAAAATATCGTATAATAACAATTTTTTCACAGCAAATGAAAAACTGTATATATATATATATATTAGATCCCCGCAAAACTTTGAAATTTTGAATCGAATCAAAAATATCATTCGAGAAACAATTCAAAAAATTTTTAAAATCGAATCCTTACTTATTTAGTTTTTGTTGTGGGTATTTTAGAAATTCTGCGCTTTGGCGCTGTCAAAATAACGTTACTTATCCTTAAATACATTTTTAATCAGTCATTAAAAAGGTTAACCAGGGCAAGAAGCATTAATAAAGAGATTATACAATTGCTTTATTGACTGGTTTAAAATTAATAAGCTGTCACCAAATGTTCAGAAAACTAAATGAATACTTTTTCATCAAACTTCAAAAAAAAAAAGCTAATGCCTCCTGTCATGTCGTTATTTTTTTTTTTTGACATAATTCAAATAAAAAGAGAACTAACTACTAACTTTTTAGGAATCAACTGTATATATATATATATATATATATATATATATATATATATATATATATATATATATATATATATATATATATATATATATATATATATATATACATATATATATATATATATATATATATATATATATATATATATATATATATACAGTATTGGACAAAACATTTGCAACCAACATCGAACAATGCTAAAAAGTGTTCCTAATTTTACATGTCTAAAAAGCGAAACGAACTATACTACTACAGCAAACAGTTCAAAAGTCTGGAGTCATAGTATGCCATGACATGAGCAATCAGCTGACAGCACACAGGCAGAATTTTGTTGACATTTGCCATTTTGCAGCGGACAACACAAGTGCAACTTTTTTGCTTTGTTTCATTTTTTAAATTTGGGTCCGTGTCAACGTCACTGAAGTTTTTTAATAATTAAAGGAAGTATCCAGAAGCATGCAGAAGCTTCCAGAAGTTTCCAGAAGAAGCATCTGGAAGCATTCAGAAGCATCCAGAAGTCTCCAGAAACATTCAGAAGTATCCAGATGCATTCAAATGCTTTTAGAAGCATCGAAAAGAAGCATCTAGAATCTTCCAGAACAGGTTCACACAGGTTCATTTTACTATATAAGAGACATTTAAACCGACATGTAATTTAGTCAGTATATGGAAGTCAATCAGTCGGTATTATCAAAACAGTTTATCGAAGTGAGTTTTATCAAAGTGTTTTATCAAAGAACATCAATACAAGAAGTGAAAAACAACAAGTGTTTCATTACATCAATACAGTCCACATCCAACCAAGACTTTGTGTTTCACAGAGCATTGTATCATCATAACGTAAATGTAACACGGTAAGCCTTGAGACGCGTGATTATTTATTTTTATTATTTTTATGACTTCAAGTGCAAAAATGGCTCCCGACAGTCGTGTATTGGAACTAAGAAAGAAAATTATTGGCGATAACGTAAGTGGAGTGTCACAAAAAAGTGTTTGTGATGAATATCGCGTGAAAATATTGACAGTGTCAAGACTATGTTCCAAATATTGTTCTACGGGGAAGTTGGCAGCAGATAACAAAGGTTGAAGACCGCGTTCCACCACTTATAAAGAGGATTCTATGATTGTCAGATCCGTCAAGAAGGATCCCTGGATATCTTAAGTCGAGATGCAAAAGCAATTAGAGATGCCTGTATCGGACCGAACAGTCAGACTACGTGTTGTTAAAGCCAGATTGTTTTCTCGACGCCCTGCAAAGAAACCGCTGATTTCACTAAAGAACCGAAGAAAAGACTCCTGTTTGCTACATCTCATATTGACTAAAATGTGCAAAAATGGCGAACTGTCCCGTTCAGTAATGAATCGAAGTTCAACATCATTGGGAGCGATTGCATTTGCCGTGTGCGGCGACCGACCGGGAAACGCCTCGATTTACGTTACTGCCATAAGACCGTGAAATATGGTGGAGGCAATGTAATGATCTAGGGGTGTTTTTCCAATAACGGTCTAGGTCCAATACATCGAATCAATGGAATAATGCACCGTTTCATGTACAAAAATATCCTGAAAGATGTTATATTACCTCATGCTGAATGGAATATGCCAACAAAAAGATTTTTCAGCAAGACAACGATCCGAAACACACAGCAAAAGTTGTCAAGCAGTGGTTTCAAGAGAACCACCTATCAGTGATGGATTGGCCGCCTCAATCTCCAGATCTCAACTCTATCAAGAACCTGTGGGAGATTGTCAACCGCAGAATTAATCGTGAAGATGTTCGTAATAAGGATCAACTGTTTGTTGATCCTTATTACGATAAATATATATATATATATATATATATATATATATATATATATATATATATATATATATATATATATATATATATATATATATATATTGCATCGTAGACACAAAGTTTTTCCCATAAACTGTTGTTTAAAAGAGCCCGTTAATAAGCATGACCAAAAAATGTTAAAAAACTTCAAAAAAAAATTTTTTTTAAATGATAGACTGCCTGCCCAAACCAAACCCTCAGTCGATGTAACAGCACTCCCTTGTAGCAGCAGGCTATAAAATAGTCGATGTAGCAACACTGTTTTACAACACAAACAAAAACAAAAACACCACTAATTAAAAAAAACTCTCTAGTCATCATTATTGCGGTTTTTTTAAAAAACAATAAAATTTAATGTACTTCCGCATTAATTTAATTGCTTTGACATTTCGATTACAAACAAATACAGCTTAAGAGACGAGGTAATAAAAATTGTAGTCGAAAGAGACTTTTTTTACCATAAAAGTTTCTTTATATATATATGTACTTTTTCCTTTATTTTGTTTTGTGCTCGTAAAAATGTATCGTTTATGCAAGATAATTTTTTTGGTTTGAAAAATTGATCAAGTTTTTCACAAATGACATTGTATTAATTGTTTTCGTTTCATTTAAGAGTTTTTTTATATTTTTACAATTTTCCATGCTAAATGCATTACTAATTTATTTTTTTGAGAACCTTGTGTAAATCCTGATGCTACTCAAAATAATCGAATAACTAGTGATCAAATTTTCTACAGTAACGGAATAAAGTATAAAGTTAAAAAAGAAACTTAATATTTACTTCCGTTTATATTTATTATATTTTTATAACCCTATTCGCAACGCCTCCCAAGCTCCCAAGAAATCGGTTATAAAAAAACGGTGAAACATACGAATAGAAAAATTTTCTTTTCCTCTAAAAAATAATAAGGTCGCATGCCAGTGGGCCAATTTTTTGAAGGACGTGAGGCTACAGGTCCATTAATCTCTCCCTCCCCCATGCTCATATGACACTGGCTGAAGTTCTAATTTATTTGAGATCGTTCTCCTCTTTTTCATTCAATTGTTAACGAATCTTTTTTTATTCAATTATTGATGAATTTTTTTTATTCAAGCAATATAAAAAAACCTTTTAAAATATTGAAAATTGTACTTCAAGAAATATAAAAAATATTTCATTGGAGCTTTAGTAAAATTTCATTTTTGAAACATAAATATATCACTTAAAGTTATTTTTTAATATTTTTTCACTTAAAAATCTCTACATCGATTACCCGATTTCAAAATTAAAAAAAAACAAGCTTTTAAGAAATAATTACTCAAAACATACAAGTCGTTTTAACCTGAAATTCGGAACATATTTTAAACATAGTAACAATATTTATTTGAAAGAAAATATATGAAGATCTTTTATTAAATCTATTGAAGATAAAATCTGAATATTTCTAAACGAGGTCTTTTTCTCAAAAGTTGTAAACAAGGTATTTTTACAAAAGTTTTTCTCGAAAATTACCCTATTGTCGCATATTGATAGAGTCTATGCCGAACCAAAAAGGTGGACCAACGCGATACTAAAGGGTTATTCTTATTTGGTAGTGTTATTTTAATTGTGTCACATATGACGAAATGCTTTAGTTATGAATAAAATTTTTTAATATTTTGTGTATGATTTTAATCAAGTGGTCACCACTGTATATTAATTTTTTTATATATATATAACACGGAAAGTATATTGTTATATATTGAAATAGTTAACAAATCGACTAAAACTATTGTACTTGCTTTTGTATTTGCGTCGTGGTAGTGTCGCCCGGCGCGGCTTGCGCCCCCCTTCGTCAGCGACATTAATGTAAAACTATTATAGTTAATTTTATTTATAGACTACAACTAATAGTTAAACAAAAATCTATTAACATTATTTTTTTATTATTATTTACATTATATCATATACTTCAGTGAAAATATCTTCCAGCAAATATATTTTCCATTAAAGTAGTTTTTATTAAGTGTGTTTTTGTTTACAAACAGGGCCGCCGAGAGGTGGGGCCACCGAAACAGTTTGTCCCGGGTGGCAGATATCCAAGGGCGCCAAATGAAATAGAGGTACCTAAAAAAAAAAAGGTCTTTCACATATAATATAGGGAAAATTTGATAAATAAGGGCGCCAATCAGGATTGCTGTCCCAGGCGGCGTAACAGCTCTCGACAGCCCTGTTTACAAATAGCGAAGTTTGATTTATTTTACTCTACACATTTTCGGATAAAACGATTTAAAAAATAAAAACTAGGAGACGACATAAAAAAAGATTTTTATTAGTTTTTTTTTTTCGCAACTTTTTTTTAACTTAGGTTTCAATAAAGTAGAAAACATTATTTGAGGTATACAACATAATCAACTCGAGGTATATAACATAATCAATAACTCAAAGTATATAACATAATCAATAACTCAAAGTATATAACATAATCAATAACTCGAGGTATATAACATAATCAACTCGAGGTATATAACATAATCAATAACTCGAGGTACATAACATAATCAATAACTCGAGGTATATAACATAATCAATAACTCGAGGTATATAACATAATCAATAACTCGAGGTATATAACATAATCAATAACTCGAGGTATATAACATAATCAATAACTCGAAGTATATAACATAATCAATAACTCGAAGTATATAACATAATCAATAACTCGAGGTATATAACATAATCAACTCGAGGTATATAACATAATCAATAACTCGAGGTATATACCAGGTATTTAGTATAAAATTGCATAACTTAATAATTCCGGGATTAACAACTTGACTAATACGAAGCAACTTATATTTAATGATTTGAAAGGCTCAAAAAAATAAAACTCTAGTTTGCGGGTACTTAAAGGTTCTATTTTAGAACCATTATTGTTTTTACATTTATATAGATAACTAAAAATGTTTAACTTCAAAAATAATAAATACTATCTTGTTTACAGATGACTCGAGTCATCTGTAAACAAGATAGTATTTATTATTTTTGAAGTTAAACATTTTTAATTATCTATATGAAGTAAAAATAATAATGGTTCTAAAATAGAACCTTTAAGTACCCGCAAACTATTAGAGTTTTATTTTTTGAGCTAAATTAGATCTAATTTATTTTATTCTCTCAAAGATGATATCATTGACTATCATTGAATGTAAAGAAAATTAGAAGTCTATCCTATTCAATAAAACCAATAAAGCAGATATTATTAATCTTAAATTGTCCAATCTAAGAAAATGATAATAAAAAAGAAACTAACCTCATAGAAGCAATTTTAAATGAAAAGATGTCTTAAAATTCTCATATTAAGTATATTAAAAGCCAGGTCTCAAGAAATGTTTCATGTTTCAAAACGAAACCTTTTCTTAATAATGTATAATTAAAAAATGTTTTTTGTATAATTAAAAAAAGTTTTTTACACAATTATCTTTCTTACTGTAAAATTGGCTGGGGAAATACTAATCATTCTAAACTAAATAAAAATCTGTTATAGAAAAAACATTCTAACAGAGTAACCTCTTCCTTGCGAACCTCTTTTACAAGATAAACTTTTATGTGAACTTTTTTTATGCAAACCTCTTTTACCTGAATCTAAAGCTTTAAATATTTTTAAGCTCAATATTTACTAAATGATTCTATTTATGTTTAAAGAAAAGTGAGAACTATTTCCAGAAACATTTTAAACTTTTTTGTTCTTAGGCTCGAAAAAATGCTGAATCCGCCAAAAAATGGATCCGCCTTTGATTAATATATTAATTCGAAATCATAAAAATATATAAATTTTTATATATTTGTAACTAAATAAATAATTATTTACTTAGTAAAGTGATATATTTAAAATTATGTTTAAACTGATATTAAAATAACCGGATGATGATCTTTAGACTAATTGATTAAAAACTATTAAATTAAGTGTGCATGCATATTTTCTTAATACAAAAGTACAAAATTTAATAAAATATTTAATTTATATTGAATATATATATAGTTTCATAATTTAGTAATAATAATTGCTCCAAGCTGGCATGGAAAGTAGCGTTTTATTATTTTTTTTCCATCCTGAATTTCTTCATTTTCGATACTATTTTCATTTAGAAATTTGAAAAAATCTTCTAAAATATCTTTATTTGTAGTTTTTCGTGCACATTTGACATGGAGCGAAAAATCGATTAAATAGTTACCGTCAATGGACTCTTCGTCATACATTGGAGTAATATCGAAGTTATATTTTTTAGTATAAGTTTCGTATACCCATCCTTTCTCATCCGCTAGAGATTTCCATCCAGGTAAAAAATAATTAGATGAAACTCTTCCTGAACATCCGAAACTGCCATGAATCATATTGTGGTTGTCAAGAAAAACCATCATTTTAGGCCAAAATGCATTTTCGTTTTCCCCTACAACTGCTATAATTCCGTTTTCTGAAATCAAATTGTCGTAGGTTTGGTTCAAACAAACTACGCTGTCCATGTAGTAGAAACACCGAACAAAATGAATAAAATCAAACTTTCCCTTTTTCTCAGTTTCAAATTTATTTAGAAAGCTTTCAAAATTATCTTCGTGCCATTCAAATTTAATTCTGTTATAACGATTATCTCCAGCAACTCTATTTTTGAAAAATGTTATACTTGAATTGTTGGGTTCCACAACGTGATAGACTAAATGATATTCGTTACCATGTTGTTGCTGACCGCGACAAACAAGTTCATTTAGGATATCAATATCAACATCTCCAGGACCAGTTCCAATAGCCAATACCTGCAGCTCTTTTTTATTTAAATAAAGGTTTCTGAATAAAATAAAAAAAGCAAATTTTAAAAATTTTGAATAAAAAAAAGTTAAAAAAAAACTATTTTTGATCAATTCTAAGTTTTGGGAAAAACTGAAAAAAAAAAAATAAAATTAAACAAAAAATAACTTTTTTTTAGTTTTATTTTTGCCTAAAACTTTTATATTATAATAAAATTTATAAATATTACTTTTGATGGTTTGTGACTGAATAGTTAGACTAATTGGTAAGCATCAGTTTTGTATAACTGGTGTCTTTAATTGGAATTCCCGCGTAGCTGTTTGCCGATGCTCCACTCTCCCCTATGTACGAATGTACAAATGTATGTATGAATGTATGTATGTATGTATGTCGGTTTTTGAAAAATAATGTCCTCATTTTTATCCGGATAAGTTTTTAAAAAAATTGTTGTCGTTCCACTTTAGTACCGATTTAGAGCCGCTATTGATCACCGACCAACTAATTAAGACAGTCTTAGTCAGATTTTCCCTCGTTTCTATTTATTTTTTTTTAATTTTAATTCACCTCCTCAAGGCCGAGAAGGCCACTATAGACGAGGAGGCTACTTATTTGTGGCTATAACCCTCTCTCAACTCTATAACTCCGAAACACGAACCTTGACGAACAAGGCCGCTGCGCGGAGAAACGAGTTGAGCGCGGTACTACCAGGGACGTGTTGGGGATCGAACTCGAAACCACTCGTTTATGAAGCGAACGTTCTACCACTACACCACTACCGGATTCTATTATTTGTAACAATTTAAAAAACATGGTCACCCTATCGTTGATACATCCTCTTTATTTTAAAAATGTTGTAAATTTTATAACTTTTGAATTCGAGACATTTAAAATTGAGAAGTAATAAAATTCTTACGTTAGTCGAGCTCCAAGGACGTTTTTCATCCACTCTCTTTGTGGCGGTAGTTGCTGCATGTATTTTAAATAAGTCTGCAACGTTACTCTGTAATTTGTTTCATCGAAAACAAAAGCGTTTGAATCCATTTTAATTGACGGAAAAAAACTGAAATCAAAAACAAACTTTAACAAGCACCAATCAAAAAGCAATATTTTATTAAGAAACTTATATTGCAGATTGCTTTTAAATTTCTTTAGTTTCACTTATCTAAATTTCCTTTAAGCAATGTTGCTATAAGCTTTTTAATATTATAAATTTTATAGGTGTCAGATTTTGATGTCAAAATTAAAAGCTAATAAAGCTATAATAACAAAATAGATCAGCCAATAGAAAATATTATTCTTCATTTAGCCAATTTTATTCATATAAAATAACACAATAAAAATGAGAAAACTGGAAAATTATTAGAAGCGCACGAAACAAAAGTCATAAAAATTTTTTTTTTTAAATCAGAGAAGAATAATTTGACTTGGTGATATAATTTCTTATCTTTCAGCAGGGCCGACGATATCCGCGGGGCCGGGGGGCAACCCCTCCTCCAATTTTTTTCTAAAAGACCTTTTTTTTTTTATAAACTAATTCTAGATATAGTAGACCTTTTTTAAGAATTGACGATTTAAACTTCGAAACCCGTGTCGTTGGCCCTGTTCAGTAACGATTTTGTTGACGGTTTCTGTTTCATTTTAAAAAACAACAAAGCAGCACTTTGATATTTTTTAAAAATTATTAAAATGGTCCCGCCCGTTTTTTTGGCTAAATAAATCTTAAAAAAACAATTTTCAAATATAAAAAATAATTTTTAATAATTTTATTTAACTGTTTTAATAATTTTTTTAAAATACTGTTTAAATAATTTTATTTAACTGTTTATTTAACTGTTGAATCATGACAAAATCAACCTACAGGCCCGAGATCGCAAGCTACAGAACCGAGGTCGCAAGTGAAAGTTTTTTAATAACTTTTATTTTTTGTTATTAAGTTTTGTTACAAACTACATGGTGTAATTTTTATCTTTTTATATTATTTTATTGTAAAATTTTTTTTTTCTTTTTTATATGCAATGATATTTATTAATTTAATTGTTTACTGTGCAACAGACAAAATATGGCGTATTTAGAGAACTTAATACCTTCCATTGCTATAGCCCCGCTCCATTGCTATTATTATGCATATTGGTTAAATATGAAGATTTTAATTGTGTAGTCACTAAAAATTACAATTTTTTGTGTAGCTTAATTTGTAAAAAAATATGGCATAAAACTTTTGATGTTGAAACAAGGGAATAATAATAGAAAATTTTATATTCCATTAATTCAATATTAAAATAATGCAATTACCTTTGAAAAGTCATATTTTTATGACACGTGCCACAGAGCACGTTTGTGGAATTTGTTATTAACCAAAACAATGAAAAACTTAAATTATTTTAAAGCAAAATAACATTTATTTTATTTATCCAAAACAAACATTCCTTCTTTTTTTAAAGTCCTTGTTGTATGCTTGCGTTTATCAAATTTTTTAATACCCATGATAAAAAATTCTAAAGCGTGTTAATTTTTATTGTATAATTTTTAAAGAAATTGTTGAAAGATTAAAAATGCGTCAGTTTTTCTTGTTTTAAATAGATTTTTTCTGTAGTAAAATATTTTATTAAGTTTTTTTGTGTGTTGTTTTTTTTACTAGTTAAAACAGTTGGATTATAAAATACTTTTATGTCTTTTAAAAAATCTTGTTCTTTATTATTGTTTTATTTTAGTTTTTTAACGTTACTCAAGTCCTGAAGTCTAATAAAAGTTAAGTGACAGACAGCCATACATTTTTTTGTCCTCACATCATGTGTAAGGGTGGGGGCGAGCTTTTTGGGTTTAATTGTTCCCAGCCTCTAATCACCACAATTTAAAAAAAAAAGTTATTTTCACTTTCTATAACCACTCTTCGATAAATTTGTTGGGTTAATGCCTGAAAATGCTGTATCACAAACGTGAAAAAGTTTTGAGGATGCCCTTATAGAAATTGAAAGAAGTTGTTTTTAATCATTCAAAATCGAAATAAGTAAAGATAATTCAAGACAACTGTAATTCACTAATACTATAAAAAGATGTTTTTAAACTCTCTATTTCTAGATAATATATTCGCAAAATTTCGCCGAAAGCTAAAATATAAATCAACTCAAAGTTTTTACAAGTAATTTCAGTTGAGAGATTATTTAGCAACAATCGCCTGTGTTTAAGAATTTGTTTCTATTTAAATAACAACAGCAACAACATTAATTTTAATAAATTAGATAGAGATAAAAATAATTATTATAAAATTCTATACAACTAATATTTAAATAGACTTATATAAAATAATTTATATATATATATATATATATATATATATATATATATATATATATATATATAATATATATATATATATATATATATATATATATATATATATATATATATATATATAATTATATATTATATGTAAAAATTTAAATAGACTAATATATATAAAAAATAAAACAAACTTACTTAGTTTTGATAAAGTTCCAAGTTTTTAAAACAACTTTAACTCAAAGAGCAATATTTATGTATCGACTTGGTTTCGTTTAAATTTCTTTCACACTTTAACAAATTGGTTTTGTTAAATGAGCAAATATTTAACACTAAGAAATAATTGGTTCCGCTAAACAAACAAACTACCGCACAATTTATTATAAAAATAACAATAAAATCAAAATCACGAGTTGTCCAATTTCTTATTTACATAACCCCATTCGTTTAAATAAAACACGTCTTAATTTTTGATTATTAAAACAACTAAACATAGTCATGTTTTTCTTTAAACGTTTTATGTATTTTGTGGTTCTATTATAAGCCATTTTTAAATTTGGTCTAAACGATAATGTGTATAATAAGTTTTTAAATAAATAAAACATTGGCCATATTCTTACTGCGAAGGCTTGTTAAGAAACTTTTTTTTTTTTAATGATTCTCTCAACTTAAACAAACTTAACACGTCAATAACCATTTCACTTTACGTTACTTTTTTTTTTTTTTTATTATTAATTTACCTTTAAAAAAAAACATTTTTTGTAGATTTTTTTTTCAAGTTTGAAAATATTGTAAAAAATGGTTAAGCGCAAAAACCTTTTAATTGATTTGTGTTCTACATTCTTTTCAACCCAACTGTTATTCATAATTATTGAATTAATGTGTATGGTAGTTAGACGTGCCCACACAGCTCATGAAACGCGTGCCCACACAGCTCATAAAACTAAAGCATTGATTACATAAACCAAGTAAATTTTTTGTCTTTTTCCTAGATTTGAATCCAATTGAATTTATAAGGATTTTGATGGACAAAGAATTAGTCAAGGTCTGAGTAAAATCCATAAATAGTCTATAGCAAGAGGTAGATGCCATATTGAGAAATGCGACCAAGATCAATCTTGTTAAACCGATGCAAAAAATATGTGTAGCTCGCATGAAAGGGAATGGAGTATATTTTAAATACTATTTTGAGTGTTTTTGCGCTAATTGGAGTTTTTTGTTGTTGTTTTTTTGATAAATTATGCTATTATGTTCTACCATGTTTTTTTATACAATTGTATGTTTTGTATATTAAATTAGTATATTGATGTTTTATTTAACAAAATTGTTTGCAATTAAATAAAAAAAATTAATGTTATCTTTAGTTTCTAATTTAATATACTTTAAATAAGCTTTAAGCTACAAAATCTTAATGCGCCATTTTGGTTGCACTATATATGTTGCACAAAATATTTAATGTTAATAAAAGATCTTGTGCACTCGGAGTAAATTGAAGAAACACAGAGTAAAATAAAAAACTTGAAAAGTGATTTATTATAAGAAAATTTAAAGACGTTTTCTTTTTTTTTACAAGTTTAAAGATTTTTTTGTTTCGATTTTTATATATTAAAATGCTGCATTCAACATTGAGTTGTAAATTTTTAGCTAACCCTTTAGCCTACCTTTTAGCTTACTCTTGATATCACCTTTCAATAGTTACACAAATACTAACAAATAATAATTGAAGTCAATTTTAAAAAAATTTTATAAAATATATATATATATATATGTATATATATATATATATATATATATATATATATACATATATATATATATATATATATATATATATATATATATATATATATATATATATATATATATATATATATATATATATATATATACATATATATATATATATATATATATATATATATATATATATATATATATATATATATATATATATATATATATATATATATATATATATGTATATATGTATATATATATATATATATATATATATATATATATATATATATATATATATATAAATATATATATATATATACATATATATATATATATATATATATATATATATACATATATATATATATATATATATATATATATATATATATATATATATATATATATATTTATATATATACATATATATATATATATATATATATATATATATATATATATATATACATACATATATATATATATATATATATATATATATATATATATATATATATATATATATACATATATATGTATATATATATATATATATATATATATATATATATATGTATATATATATATATATATATATATATATATATATATATATATATATATATATATATATATATATATATATATATGTATATATGTATGTATATATATATATATATGTATGTATATATATATATATATATATATATATATATATATATATATATATATATATATATATATATATATATATATATATATATATATATATATATATATATATATATATATATATATATATATATATATATATATATATGTAAATATATACATATAATATGTTAAGAAGTTCAGCTTACCTTGTTAAATAATTTATTAGTTGAGTACATATTGCAGTATTGCTAACATTTAAGCTTTGAGTATATACATTATTCACTGAATAAGCGTCGTGTCAAAATCTTTTTTAATTGTATTGAACAGCAGTAGAAACATAAAACAAACTTTTTTGTTTAATAAAATTTTCTAATTTTTTTTAATGGACAAATTAGTTAAAACAAAAAACTTTGCTGTTTATTTCGACAGTTTGTTGAGTGCAGTTTAATAGAATTAGAGAGATTTTGTGAAACGACGCTTCTTCAATGAATATATAAATGCTTATTCAATGAATATATATATGTATATGTTATATGTGTATATATATATATATATATATATATATATATATATATATATATATATATATATATATATATATATATATATATATATATATATATATATATATATATATGTATATATATATATATATATATATTATATATATATATATATATATATATATATATATATATATATATGTATATATCTATTTATATATATATATATATATATCTATATATATATATATATATATATATATATATATATATATATATATATATATATATATATATATATATATATATATATATATATATATATATATATATATATATATATATATATATATATATATATATATATATATATATATATATATATATATATATATATATATATATATATATATATATAAAGCCCGTAAACAACTTTTTTTTTATGTTTGAGCTAAGCTACTTGAAAACATGAAGAAAAGTCAATATTTAAGTATGTTCATATATATAAGGATGCTATGAAAAAAATGATGTGATTGGAGACTAGAAGCAACAAAAATCCAAAACGTTAGCCCCTTCCCCCTTAAAAAATAAACTTGAATTATTGCTTATCTATTTTAGGCGGGGGAAGGGGGGATGGGGGAGGGGGAGGGGGGAGTACTAACGTTTTGTGATTTTTGTTGTTTCCAATTACATCAATTTTTTCATAGCAACCTCATTCCTCATATATATGAACATACTTAAATATTGAGTTTTTTTTATGTTTTCAAGTTGCTTAGCTCAAACATCAAAAAAAAGTTGTCTACGAACTTTGAATACTATTGTATTTCGAAATTGAATGTTATATATATCATACATATTACATTAAATAGTAAACATTTTAATGACTGACAATGTAAATTCTGTTTGGTTTTTGTATTGAAGTTAAAGCTTAAGTAATTGGAATAAAAATGTACATGAAAAAAAAAAATTAAATTCTATTATTATAATTAATTATAAACTATTATTTACAAAAAAAAAAAAAGATTTAGTTGTAGTTGCATTAAGAAAAATCGGGCGAATTCTTTAATCCCATGAACAGTTATGTTATCTATCCACACTAGCTCGTTATCGATTGAACGGAAGATGATATGCTATGGTAATTATAATGGTACCTCATCAAATTTCACTTTGAAGCAGGTGACACTGATAACACTGACAACTCACACTGACAAATCTCACACTAAAAAGATAACCTTTATTATTTGTTTTCTCCTCTATAAAAGAAAAACTAATCGCTGGGAAATCAAAGAATGATTTTTGCGTATTAAAGCTTTCGAGAAGAAGAAAGGAGTCCCTATAGCCAAACTTACCACTGATGTGATTGCAAGGATAAGTTTATATATTTAAAATTATTGCAATCAGGGATGCGATGATGGCTCCAATATGTCAAGTGCATACAAAGGAACTCCAGCCTTAATAAGGCAAAATTATTTGAAAGCTCTGTACGTTCCTGTAGCGCTCACTGTCTAAATTGGACTGGTGTGCACGCAGTTGAATCAGTCAATGAGATCAAAGTATTCTTTGGAAATGTTGGATTTTTATCTGTATTTTTTAATGCAAGTCCTGCCCGACGAAAGATCTTCACTGAAGCGACAGAAATGTTACTGCATAAACATTCGATGACAAGATAGAGCTCTTGTACCAACGCAATTAAACCACTTGCCAAGAGTCTAAGGAAAATGTTGGCAGCTATTAAATGTCATGAAAAACATAGATCTGATCAGTGAGCAGCATAGCCAAGCAAGAGCCTTAACAAATAGTTATCATCTTTTGAACTTGTATTGCTAATTACAATTTGGTACAAAATCCTTACTACTGTTAACAACGTTAGTCGCTTTGCACAATCTGAGGACATTACTATCGATGACGAGCTACGTTTGATTGGACAACTGCAAGAAAATCTTAAACCGGTTGATTGCAAATTTTCTAAGAGATAACAGCTGTAGCTGGACCTCTAGGATTTAAAACTAAACTCGCTACTATAAGAAAGCGTAAACTAAAGCGCCTTCACAATGAGGCATCAAACACAGCTATTTTCACAACAGCCAAACAAAAGAATTTGAAGTGAATGTTGGTTTAGATAGTCCAATATAGCAGATTGATTTAAAATTTGAGACAAGCAGGATGGTTGGCAATATGTTTTAATTTATCTGGTTGAATAAATAAAAATGCATTCTATATATTTTCATTCATCCAATCAGATGAAAAACATATTGATGATCTTTCTGTTCAAAATGAAGCATGCGAACTTGCACAGTTGTATCCAAGAGATGTGAACAAAGGCGATCGCATTGATAAAGTTCGTCGTTTTAACAATGCCCCCAAAACAGTTTTTAAGCAAGGAAATCCACTGCAGCGACTTAATCAAATCTTTAAGCAGAAGCTTGATCGCCTTTTTACATACATTTGAATAATGCTCCGTATTTTCAA